TGAGAGGCACAGTGGAGGTGGAGTTCAAAGAAGAATGAGAAATTTAATGGTTTCGATCTGCCCTTGTTTTTTCTTTTTGTTTTTCTTTTTCTTTTTATTTTTGCATGTTATCACTGTGCCCGTTTTTTGCTTTTATTCTTTGTTCCGCAAAGTGYGCTCTTTTAGTTTGTAGTGATGTGACAATATATATATATATATATATTTTAAAAAAGGCCCAGTCGGGCAAGTGGTCCTGGGCCACTCTGGTAGCGTAGCCCTGGACCAGGTTTTTCACCGTTTTGCCTTCTTTTAATTTTTTATTTTTAACCTGCGGAGCACTTTGAACTCTGCATGTGTGGTGAAGAACGAACACTGCATTACTGTGCCACACATGGTTGGCACGCACCAAAAAAATCTTTCAACAATTTTCAGAAATTTTTAAAAAAGAAGTATGTGCCATGTGGTATAATTTTTTGTTTTGAACATTTTCCTTCTCCGGGGCCCCTGCCTACATCCAATCTGTGTGGCAGGCCCTTCTTGGACCGCAGCCGAGCCCACAAAGTTGCATGCACCATTTCCCCTAGCCACAGAGTGGAACAGCCAGGAGTACTGGGGCATTCGGCAACGTCGAACCAGCACTCGAAGGGACATACTGAAAAGATCAGATAGATCATCAATAAAATTTGGGAAAAAATAGTTGTTTAACTGCTGGTACACCACTTATTTGTTCATTGACTAAGTTTAGAACGAATTCATAAATCATTTCAACAAAAGATTGCCGAGCATTGGGTACTAAATGACCTCCATTCATGGTGACAAAATGAAATAAAAGCAAAACTAAACTAATCAGGAAAGACCTCATCTTTGAGGGCCAAAACGCAAATTTTCAGTTTATTATTGAACTAACATCTTCCTATCAACACATTGCACCCTCATCATGACCGTTCTGGACCAGAAAAATAGGTTGATCAGCTTGCATTGCGTTTGCAGGAGACAACATGCTTCTTTGCCACCCTGACCAAGGGCCTGGGGGGTCTCAGTGCAGAGCTCAAAAAGTGAAAAAATAAAATGGTGCATAGAATTGTAATCCAAAGTTCCAAACAAGATTTAGCTGAGGGTCACCTCCAAATTCCCCTTAATAGTAAGTTAATATAAAAAAACTTAAAAAAAGCCCATCGATACACACCAGCTTTCCCCTGTTAACCCATCACCAAATCAGAAAAGGCTGGATGCTGACTTAGGCCAACTCGTGTTGGATTGTAGGCTTTGAATCCTGTTACTTCTTCTCCTTCTTCTTTTTGTTCATTATTATATTATAATAATGATATATTTTAGATTTTTTTATTTTACTATTGTTATTTTATTTATTATTATTATTACTATTGTTATTGTTATTCTAACATTAAGGGAAGTTAATATTATGTCCATCATTTTTTCCAGGTATACTGTGCAGTGTACACTGTCCACAAATTGCCCCTTATCAGTTCACCCTTCTGCAAGGGTAGCTTGATGTTGTGTCCCTACCTGTGAAAAGCCTCTTCTGATGGCCTGTGGGCCTCATGGGAATTGTCGGCATGGCCTCACCACCTGTCTCTTATACACATCTAGATGTGTATAAGAGACAGCTGTATGGCTAAGACTTTCTGTACTTAGGGCATACTCACACTACCGCTTTCCAGAAT